TCGATATTTTAGGCAGAGAAAGTAGTAGAGGCTCGTATGGTCCTGAACCGAGTACATCGCCATATCGCGATTCTCTGATGGAATCTCGAGTCTTCAGGCAGGAAATGCCACCATATCGTCCACCTGAGGTTCAACTTAGCCATAGTTACAAATCACAGAGCGAGAAGTATGGTTCCTTAATGGAGAGTGGCAATCGTTACCATAGGGATAGAGAACGGGAAATGCAGCAGCATCATCGGGAACGAGTCAATAGTCTTGACAAGACGAACCCGCCAAGCTTTTATCCGAGTTCCATGCACTCGAGAAACATGAATAAACAGCCGCAGGATGGTACAGGTAGCATAGGTAGAAGACATCATGGATGTTCCGCGTCGCTTTCGGAAGCGAATGTCAGGGACGTATATGGTGCAATGTTATCTGAGAGAAACGATCCTGCCAAGAGTCTCGGCAGATCTGCTGGCGTACATAGCGGTAATTCTTCAAAACAAAGAGGTCTTGAAGCGGTAGAGCGGGAGAGAGAGCGCGAGCGAGATAGGGAGAAGGAGTATAGGCGAAACACAGCGTGCAATAACTCATTGGATAGTAAGCAAGATAATCTTTATATTTCTTTCGCCACCTTCCTGTATATATGTGCATGTATCTTTTGCAATACATAAGTAATTATTATTTTACAAGGTGTGCCGCAGCCGTTGGGTCGTAGTTACAGTTTTGTGCAACAGCAAAAGCAGCAACAAAAGATGCAGCAACAGTTACAGCAACAGCAACAACAACAGCAGCAAGCTAGAAGGAGAGAACGAGACGACGATGCTATGCACGAACGTTACTTGATGATAAGTCAAACCCACGAACAATCTAGACAGAGACTCAGTAGTAACACTAGCAGTAGTAACAGCAGCAACAGCAGCAGTAATAGTGCCGCGGGTGAAGAAACTGAGGGTCACGCTGAAGGAGATGACAGCAAAAAGAAAAGAAGTAATGGAAATCCCAGTCCCCCGCCATCGCCATTTTACGGTAACCTTCTGGCTGATGCTGATCATCTGTTACCGTTACAACATTATATTCTTCAACAAGCAAAATTATCAGGTAATAAATAAAAAATTTTTATGATATTGCAAATTTTGTGCGATAGAATATGTTTTCTTATTTTTCTTCTTTTATTCACAATAGGTTGTTACAAGTTTGGAGATCCTTTATTAGTAGAAGAAGGGGAAGATTCTTTAGATGAGGAAGGTGGCAGAGGCGAAGGTATTGGCGGAAGAGGTGATGACGATTCCGATGATCAATTCGCCGATGACGAAGCGGCCAGCAATCAAGGCGATTCTTCCAGTCAAGAATATCTTGAGGATCATTACGCGGGTGAGATATTTCGAAGAGCATAAAATGTTATACGTTTTTATTAAACAGTTGTAATTAACGACGTATCTTGTATGTTTTTTAGATTTAGGTAATTACGATACCGCGGGCTTAGCGACTTATTATACCACAGCTGATACCCTGACAAGGCCGCAAGCGCGACCGCCTTCACCACCAAATATCGTGTCTCAGACGGAAGCGAGAGATAGCGTAGTGACCACTAGACAGGTCTCTGTACCCACCGTAAGTTCAACTCCGAGTATCGGTATAACGAATGTCGATAACACTGACCTGGAGGAAGCGCGGAGAGACGACAGTACGGGCGGTGGCGATATCGAAAAATACGCACAGGACAATCTCAATTTGAATTGCGGCAGACCAAAAGGACTGAGACTGCTATTTCGAAAGAAGTTTAGCGTTCGGGACATTCTCAGTTGGTCGAAAGATCCGATTCCGCAACCGATGCTTGCGATGGTGGACGGTGAGAAACTATTAAAAAGAGAGGCTTGCAATTTATTCCGATTGGTTCAAGTATATATGGGAGATCGCAAAGCAAATGTTGGTATGACATTGGACGGCGTCGCCATGGATATCGTGAATACCGCGTTCACGAAGCCGCCTCTGCGGGATGAGTTGTACGTTCAGATCTGCCGGCAGACGACGGAGAATCCGCGAAAGGAAAGCCTGCGACGCGGATGGGAATTGATGGCTGTGTGTCTGGCTTTCGTGCCGCCTAGCGCTACGTTCGAGCCTTACCTGGAGGGCTACATGAATAGGCATCGCGATCCTAACTTCCAGTTTCCCGAGGTCGCCAAGTGGCCAATACACGTGCAAGTCAGTCATTACGCGACCGTAGCCTGTAGACGATTACAGCGAATCGGCGCGCACGGTAAACGGCAGCCTCGCAAAGCCACGGTGGAAGATATCGACCAAGCGAGGGTAATAAATTGCACTAACAATTACTAAAATATCAATTACCGAATACAGATTAATTCACTTTGCATTATAATACAATATTCTGACATGTCCTTTGTGCTTTTCTCGTAGATACAAATCTTTCGCGCGTCTATGTTCGGCGCGACACTCTCGGAAGTAATGGCTTTACAAAGGGACCGCTTCCCGCTTAGAGAGTTACCATGGATACAGACTACGCTGACGCGCCAAGTGCTTGTGCGTGGTGGCACGCTAACTGAGGGTATCTTCCGGGTGTCCGCGGACGCCGATGAAGTCAGCGCGTTGAAATCCTGTCTGGACAGGTTTGAAGATGGGGCGATTCTGGCAGCTTCACAGGATGCTCATGCACCCGCCTCTTTATTGAAATTATGGGTACGCGAGTTGTACGAGCCGTTGATACCGGATTCCTTCTACGTAGAATGCGTGTCCATGCGGCATGACGATCCGGAAGCGTCTGCGGCAAATGTGGCTGCGCTTGTTGAACGTTTACCGGATCTTAACCGTCGTGTGCTGTGTCATCTAATACGCTTCCTACAGGTAAGAGGCCATTTTATACATAAATCGATAAGAGAAAGCCGAATGAAAATTTGTCTATTATTTTCACCGTGCGCTTGGCGATGTGCAACCATGTGATTCTAAATTTGTGTTTATATCGAACAAAATATCACGCTTCTTTAAACGAAGTATAAATCTATATACACAATAACGTTTAATGCTATACGCACGGTGAGAGTATGAAGACCCAAGAGCAGCATGCATTCAACATCATTGAATCAAATTGAATTGAACGTCTTTGGAGAACATTTGCTACGATACTGAAACAACTTTACAGATATTCGCTAGACCCGAGGTGGTCGCCCGTACTAAAATGGACGCCAATAATCTTGCGATGGTGATGGCGCCGAATGTATTGCGGTGTACGTCCCAAGATCCTCGGGTAATTTTAGAGAATGCACGGAAGGAGATGGCCTTCGTCCGTACTCTCATCGAGTCATTAGACACTGCTTGGGTCGATGATCTTCACTGACCGTATCCTATCGCCCTAGAAAAAAGTCCGCTCTAGACTATTATGCCAAATGAATCAGCTGTATAGTCACGTCTATTGTTAGTTATCTCTTTCTCTCTCTTTCACTGTTCTCAATTTATCTTCACACACTCTTCTTGTTTGTCCAGTCACCAGTTTTCCCCCATAGTCCTCCTATATAAATGTTCTTCGTAACGGTAATTTAGTGCTAAAGTCTACCAAGCTAATCGATCAAACCTGCTCCCTTATTTCCTATTTATTATTTATATACAGATTCTATGTTATATAACAGATTTTAGAGATTATATTAGATTATATTATGTATATCGCTATATTATATCATATTATATATTTTACCAATCCCTTGTTACCGCGTCGAACAAACGTGGACGGCTTTTTTACTCAATCATTGTTGAATCTCGTGTAAGATAAAAGAAAAGAATCATGTGTTACCGTGTATAGCTGCGCTCCGCGATAATCTTTTTGTATAAGCGACGGATTAACGTGTAAAGCGTTTTATCGAGGAGTAAACACTGCGAAAGATTAGCAAGCTGTAGTCGCAGGTGTGTTTCTTCCCCCGAGATCTCCAAGAACAAATATAACACATTTTACATAAACTTCCACGAACACACACAAATCTCACATATATTTTATAAAAATATCCCCATTTTATTTTTGTGCAATAGTATCCATACTTATAACTAATAAACTTTATTTTACAATGCAACAATCTATACAGATATAAAAAAAAATAGCTCGGAGTATTCTTGTCATAAACAAGAATTGTCTTTTCATTACATGTTTTGTACATTTTATTTATAAAGATTATGAGCAAATAGCAGTATAGTTTGTCGTCTTTGAGTCACCGCATTTTGCGCATCTTTTTTTTTTTTTATAGTTCTTAAGCAAGAGAATATCACAACTTATCGTTATATTTGTATTGTGAGAGACAATACGATAATCATATCATCGTATAAAACAGAATAAGTGTCTCAATGTATAATACATAGATCGGCTTAATACGAGCCTTACATTAGTGATCACTCAAGACTCTCTAGCGATAATCACATCTATAAGAAATTAATTTTAATGCGTTACGTCTACTGTTATATACAACATGTACATAGTAAATGATCAATACTAATACTGAAGAATCGTTACCAAAAAGAAAAAAAGCATAGCGAGAAGTTAAACTTTTCTATCGGAAGCACGCTCGCGGCTTTGATTTCGCATCTAGGCGTCTATTCGCTAAGAATTTCTCTTCCTACGAACTGCTTTCGCAATCAATCGCGTTATTAGAATCTAATCTTCGCCGACGGGACAGATCTCTAGGAACTCGGTTACAGATGTGTAGAGCAGCGAGTTGCGTCAGATCGTCTCGTCGATAGAAGTGCTAATTGGTAGCTCGTGCCGTTGGGCCGCATTTGAAGAAAGCGGCAGATCGCGATAAATAGAGAAAGAGAGCACAAGTACATAAAACCGCCTCTCCCGTTGCTATATTGTCGGCGAAAGAAATTACGAGGGTTACGAGGGGCCGCGATTCTCTCGTTTCGTTTCATCATCATTATCGTCGTCATCATCGTTGTCCGACTTTCAAGAACCGCCTCTGGATAGTAGCAGCTGCGTTTTGTAATTATATGACGCGCCCAAAATGCGATTTCCCGCCGCGGAACGGATCGTCAGCAATTGTCGACGAACGTGGCGGTGGATCCGCTCGCGATCTCTGCGTACTCCTGCCTGCTAGCCGAGCAGAGCTTGCTGGAGAAATCCGCTTCGCGTTTTCTAAAAGCGGAACAAAGTTAAGTATGTACGTACAAGAAGATAATCCCAGACCGTTATTGGCTGCATCCAGCAGAAAAAGCAGTTTTTGTAATACAGATAGCATACAAATCTTCTGCGAATGTTCTATAAATATTCTAAGAATATTCTACAAATGTATATTAAAAGTACTGTCAAATATTAATGGTATATTCATAGTATATTCAAACGGCATATAATTATAAATGTTCTGTGAACATACGTAATATTTTGTACAAAGTTTCATGGAATATGCTACGTATTTTTATACGAATATGTTAAGGAACATTCTATAAATGTTTTCATTATGAATATCTGAATAGAATATTTTATGTTATATTTATAGAACATTTGATTCAAATATTACGAAAAATATTTGTATTTTATGAGAATATTCATCGAATGTTTTGTGATATTTGGAAAGATTCTTTAATACGGACGGTTTTTTGCGTCTTTAATGTCTTACCGAATTTAGTATAAACTAATCATATTATCTTATAACGGTTGCAAAACTACTTTTCTGCTAAATGTAGCAGTTGTCACGCTCTAGTTTCTCACCCTCTGCCCGGAAGATCCATAGCATCCACTTTGACGCTGTTAACGTACAGACGATCATTACACCAGAAGAAGCACAGGGACCTGGGCTGCAGCACGTCCATGTCGTAGACCCAGGAGAGCTCAATCCGTCGGATCTTACCGATGTTGCCGATGGAACCGGTCGGATGAGCAACGACCATCCGCGCGGTCGATCCGTGCTCCAGTTTCATGTAACCGCTGCGGGGGAGGGATAGCCCGTTAAAAAATAGTGGCAGGTAGAAAAGAGCTGGACGGTGGTGGAGGGGGAGGGGAAAGGGGGGGGGGCTATCGAGTGCGAGATTGAGTCAGGTCGTAAAATAATTTACGGGCACACGTCGGTCTCTCGCGATCGATGGTTTCGCTCGGAATATGCGCGAGAATATATATTCTCCGTTTTTATGTGTGTGCTTGTTGTTTACGATCACGCAGCATCGGTTGTGCGAAGTGTGAAATTAAATATACATATATAGTTGCCCTGATAAAAATTTTTCTTAGAATCCTTTATATATATATATTTATGTTGAGAAAGTCCAGTAAATAAGTATAAGTCAAAATGACGAAAAATAATATCAGCTTGTTTGCTGAACTTTCTCAAAGCATTTCGTCAAAACGACGACAAATAACGTTACGCAGAGAATTTTTTCTTAGAGTTTACCCTGAAAATATGGTAGTTCTGGGACAACACTGTATTTCGAAGAATTTTATGTAAATTTCTCTTATTCATTAATAAAACTACAATAAAATATAAAATAAATTTGATTAATTTTACTAAAGTTTACATGGTAAAATTCTTTAAAATATTATATTGTACCACAACTATCATATTTTCAAGATGAATTTTAAAAGATAATTCTCTCCACGTAAAGTAGCTGGTTTGCTGGGAGTCTATATACATCTTTTCTAAAATATTTCAAATACATAAATTCTGAAATATTTAAAAATTTCTCAGTCCATCGTTTCCGAAGAAAACATATAAAATCTGAAAAGGTTTAAGATATTTTTCAGGAACTTAAGACATGATACTTATTTTTCATAAATTTGAGACATGATAAATTCTTAAAAATATACAATATGTGGTCTATATTAATTCTTCTGTATAGTATACGCATAACATAAACTATATTCTAAATACATACATTTATCAATTCAAATGAAGTATGAATATGCGGACCAATGAGAATTTTTTTCACCAGGGTGGCGGTTAATTTGTATTATTAATCTTCGCAGTCGCATGATCAAGAGCGACATAGACGAATGTGGGTTTTCGAAGCGATAACGTTCGTCAGCATGATTACTTACCTGGGCGTAAGATCCATGTTGCGTATCATGCCTTTGTCGGCGTGAAGAGTGACTTTCATGAAGCCCTGCACCCAGCTCTCCGCGGTCGGCGGTCGGGCGAGGTTGATGGTAATTCTATAATGTCTTCCTAAAAAGTGATTATGATCGATATCAGAGAGTATCTCAAGAGAGATCGAGGGAGGAGAGAAGAGAGAAAGAGAGAGAGAGAGAGAGAGAGAGAGAAAGGGGGAGCTCCGTTTATTGCTTTTATCGCGGTACGCGCGCGGAGAAAGTCGTGTCTTTCGCGATAGAGAAAAGCCGCATTGCTCAGTAGATATTCTTCTCTTCGCATCGATGGCGAGAAGTTAACAGACGTCTATACAGGCAAATTGAATAAATTTCGATCGAAATTAACGTTCATATTTGGCGGGCAAGATTTTTAATTGCGATTGCGATATTTCTTGTGTATGACACTTTTATGATGTACAACCAAAATACCTATTTAAAAGCAAGAGAACATTGCATTGTAATGAAACATTGTAATGGAAAGCTGATGATCTCGACGATGTTCTTAAGCTGCAGTTATTATTACTGGGAAAGTTAATAGTTATCGTTTTTAATTTTATAACGTCAAAATTCATCAGCATTAGTATAAGCAGTCTTAATATCGAAGATTATATAGCCAACCTGTGGATTATATGTATCTGTAGGTACTAGAAATAGCGTTTGAATTAATTTTCGTTAACACCGTTTAATCCTCCGGAGCTAACAAACTCTACGAGTATTACAGTTATTGACGTTGGATTTGTAAGACTCATTTCATTTAATTGAAAGGCTCTTCATTTGTTAATTGAAAGGCTCTCTAATCAATTTCAAGGGACTACCTAAGTGGAACAACAAACCATAATAACGTTAAAATGACATTAAAATAGTAATGATTGAAAAGTAAATGATTGGAAAATGACCTTTATTCATCATTTTGGAGTCATTTTGATGTCATGATGACTTGTGTTCTTCTTGAGCAAAATGACATAACTCGTATAAAAAAGAATGTATGTAAGACCAGTATTCATAGTCAGTTCTTATTTTAAGATCGTCTTAAGTAATATCTTAAGATAGTAATACAGCCCTCCTTAATTCGTAATATCTTAAGTCTTAAGACGGTCTTAAATATAAGAATATCAGTATATTTTAGAGATTATTTAAGAATAATCTAAATTTGCAGATGTAACATAAAGAAAATTTGAATTGTTTGACATTTTTGACCGAGAGATTTATAATTGAGTGGGTTTAATAGATCTAACCTCCGGAAGATTAGACCTCCAGAATCTGCTCAACCGCTTTCACCAGATATCGTACTCACTGCAATACGGATCATCCTTGCCCGTCATAAAGAAGAATTTGGAGCCCAACAAGGACGAGATATCTTGTCCCATGGCTTGGCGTTTTATCAGCGCAGGACTGGTATCCGCGTGGTAACCCATCACGCCGCAGCTCAGGCTGTTGTTGCTCTTGCAGGAGAAGCACTCGCCTCGCAAGAAGCTCGCGTAGCTCGAGCACTCGTGCGCCACGTACTGGCACTTGGAGTTGATGCTCTCGATGAAGAGCTTGAGCGCGCGCACGTGGTTGCAGGCGACCAGGACGCGCGAAGCCTCCTCGAGGCCCTCTCGTATTAAGGTAAGCGGCAGCGATGGCGTGGTCTCGCTCAGATCCGTGCAGCCGGGCTGTTCCTTGCCGTTGTTAGGATAAAAATCCAGGTGCCCGCAAGGCTGGCTCATCCCATATCCTGGAAGGCCTTGCCATGTACTACGTTAGTTTAGAGAATGTGACTCACAATGGGAACGCGACGGAGCTCCATTTATTAGAGAATTTATCGAAACGATGACTGACGAATATAATATTGTTACATATATGTTTAATAAATAAGGATTTTATCAAATAAAGCTATATCTAGAAAGAAAAAAATCTGGTCGTATTAATTGAAAATTGAGTAGATTCAATTATGTCTTGGAAAATAAACGAAGCAAGATTCTTCTATAAATTACGAGATAAGCATGATTAAATTCTTCCTGTTAAATATACTAGAATTTCTTGATAATAATATTAAAATTATTTAGTTTGATCAATATAATTTTTTAATAAAAAAAAAGAACATCTAGTGAATACATTAGAAATTTTTTTTAAATCTGTTCACGTTTGCTTGAAATTTCCAAAAATTTTTACACTTAAAAGGAGATAAATGTATACTTGGGCATTGAAGAGAGAGAAAGCGAAGCTGCAAAAAGCATAAGCAACGGACCTATAGATTCAACTAAAAATAGTAGATAAATCCTCATATTGAAATCTATCAAATATTCTAGCTATAAAATATCAAACCAATTATGATAACCAAAATTTTATTTGGTCTCACCAAAATAGATTCTACTATGGTCTTGTTTGTGTAATCAAAATATCTTTCTTCGTAATAGTATTATTTTTGCTTTCACACATTGAGATATTTCTCTTTTTATTTTAAGAAGTTTTTGAATTACCACAAGTTTTCATGAGATTTTATAAATTGACGAACTTAATTTTCGGAATTCTTGTCATTCACCAAGTTATAAGTGTTTTATGTTCTTAGTTGATTGGAAAATTAAACATTAATTTTTTCGTAATTCTAGATTTGTCATCTTTCGATTGTCATCTTCATTCTGATCACTAGAATTTCCTAATTTTTCATCGTTATATGCACGATCGAACTCAATAAGAAATCTATTCGAAACGGCAGTGTCTATTGCGCGTTTACCTAAGAAAAATATGCTCTTTCCATCGGTGTGAATTACGTCTACCAGTCGGGCGTCCGTGTAATCTAGGCGAAGATGGCTCGGCATTCCTTGGAAATATGGCTCCGCAGGATCCAACCCGGTAATACGTCCAATATTGCCACCCAATTTCTCGCCCGCATAACCGGCCGTATGGGCACCGAGGCTGTGCCCGATTAAATGTATGTCGTTCGGATCTAGGCCGTAGTTCGTCTGAAATTTTATCAGAAATAAGAATGAATATATAAGTACAGTATTTTGCTACAATCATACAATTAAAAACATATATAACATAAAAATATAAAACGATGTCATACTTGATGCTACGAATGCTTTAGAGATTTTTTTATTAGTCAATTAATAAAATTCTTTTTTCTGATTAATCAATTAAATATTTCGCAACATTTGTAGCATTAAGTGGATCGGATTATAATAACGTGTATAAATGACGTACTTATATATTTAGCGAATTTAAAAATCTAGAGTGACTTGGACACCCCACACGTGAGTAGTAAAAGTTTAATGGGAATAATCTTGGAAAATCTCTTACTTGTAAGTGCTTGATGAGATGAGCTATTTCGAGTCCAACCAGTCTCGTGTTCGCTGTCGCTTGGGTGTACAAAGGTAGACTCCCACCAGCCCAGTCGACCACGATAACATTGTAATCACCGTACACCAACAGCTCACTCCTCATTTCCTACGAGTATATTTTGTGGGTAAATAATTGGTGGTAATTTTCGCGTGTTATTTAAGAACTGCGTCTGTCATCAAATGCAACTGTGTCACTAGCTCGCGTATATCTATTTGAAACACGGACGCAAAATGTAACAGAAAAGTACATTTCTTTACCAATACGTCTAGCTCGCAATAGACGACGATGGTCGGGCGATGGAGATGCACGATGTAGGCTAGTCTTTGGTACATACATGCAATTGGTATTATGAGTATGACAGTTTGATTGCGAATACATAATGCAAAGATTTCTTTAAAAATCTAGGACGATAAACGAGTATCTGTATAGGAATAATAAAAGGATAAAGCCTCACCTTGACCCAGTTGCTGAGTGGAGTGTCTATAAAGCCATGTATAATGAATTTGGTTTGCCGCTTAGGATTGAAGTTTGAGTTTTCGATGGATTTATTCTTGGCCACTTTTAATATTTGACCCTGAGGGAAAAATGACTGGACATTATTAAGTGTACACATCTGTAAGAGAGTCAATTATTCGAAGAGTCCGTTTCAAAATCATTTATGTCAATTTTAAATCTCAAATGCGTGACGCATATACATTATTATTATTATTGAGAAGGACAAATGCATGCTAATTGCAAGAATTCATATACAGACGCGCGTATTTGTTTCCAAGGAAAAAATTATTAGCAAAAGAAAATGTTACGAGATATCATGGATTTGCATTGAGTTGGAACAAAAGTACGTAACTACTTCATTTGTATTATGTCTATGTTTTTTTTTTTTAAATTGACAATTATTCAAAAGCAAAGTGCAAGTTTCAGCTTTAAGAATCTGTTTTTTAAATTGCAGTGCCACGACTGCAATTTAAACGGAGTTGTAAGGACGATTAAAGTCAAAATGCTTCTTTTATTTAATTTGCGAACTCAGTAACAAAAAATTTTAGAAATATTAAAAAAAAAAAAACAATTTCGTAACGAAAACTTTAAGATTTTACATTAAAAAGTCGAAATTTTTCTCAAATTTTTCTAGGCATATAACAGGTCTATAGAGAAGAAAATTTCTTATTTTGGTCGAGCTTGTAAATTTTCTACGTGTAAAAATTATCAAACTCACTGGAATTCAAAAAACATAGTGACCTTTCAAAAGTATTGATTTGAAAGCTTCAAAACTTTTTCTTTTAATTTAAATTTTGGTCATTTTTAATGAAATTACAGCTAGTTGAGTATTAAAGTTCGATATATAACTATGAACTTTTCGTTTCAATCCAATATTCGCCAATTCCGCCAATCGTAAAGCGTATATGCAAAAGTATTTATTTTAATTTCACGATTCAGCGGTTTTATGCGAAGTGAATGATATACGTTTGCGTGTGCAGTTATGGTAGAGGTATGTGATTTCACCGCGCGTGTTATGCTGCTGATATATCACGCTCGATACTTCGCACAGACTTGCGGCTCTCTTCCTCCTTGGATATCCATTAATTCATAAATCAGAGATCTTATCTTCGCGCACGTAAGAATAGTGCGCGTTGCACCGCTGCCCGCACATTGATACGTGTAGTTTCGTTTAATTAATGGAGTCAATTAAGATATCCATTGGATTCAATATCGACGGCTGATCCTATACGTGATAAGAGGCAAGAGGATGGAGGATATTCTCATTCGGTTATTCTTGTCGCAAGACAAACTCCGACGGCCTCTTTCAATACAAATTCTTAATATACACGGTTATATGCGAAAGCGTTTACATCACATCAAATTTACTAGTTACGAAATTCCGGTTGTCGGAGAATTTTGATTTATTTCACCCAGGTTTCACTTTCGCGTTAATAGCCAAAATGTACTTTCGAAACGCCCATGCGATTTTTATCCGTAAAAGATGCTCACCTCAGATCTATGTAGCTTAGATCTTCAAGGCGTTCTATACAGTAAAAATCGTTGTGAATTTGTGTTGGAAACGGTTCACTTACGTTTTTGTTCATGTTGAATTTTTTAAAACTAACCACAGAAATGGATTAATTTATATTTTGACACATATTAAAATTAAAAATAACACAGTGTTATTTAACTCAAGGGATTGTATTGCCATTGCTCCTTTAATTTCTAATAGTGTGGGGATAGTTAGGATTTTCTATTCCAGGTTCAAACCCTAGTGGGTAATATTTTTTATAATAAGTCCTTTGTGTGTTTTAAGATGTTTATTAACGTCGTAATTAAATGGGCAATCAATTTAATTTATGATATTATTCTTTCAGTTTCAGTTTATGATTACGTTTTAAATCGGATAGTAATTAGTGCAGTTTATACAGGGTAATTCATTTTAATCTTAACAAGCAAATATTTTGAAAATATACAATTTTATCAAAAAACGTTTGAAATAAAAGTTGTGCAGTATATAGAGAGACGTATAATGATAATATTATTTTTGAAATATTTACCTGTGAAGATGAAAATAAATCACTCTGTATAACTGGAAGATGTATTTAAAATTTACATATAAATATTATTATAGGCATCAAGATCGAATTTTGACTGCATTTAGCCTTTATTTACTTTTCTTTCTTTATCTATTCGATTGATTATGTAGCGGTCTTGTTTTTAATTTATTGCTGTGTATCGAAACATTAGTCTTTACTTACGTCCAGAGGATTCTGATTCGTGTAGAGGATGAATCTGGTATTAATGACTTCTCGCGGTAACGGGAAAACGTTGAGAGGTCGATGAATGAGGTGATACCAGCTCCTGGTGATGTTTAAGCAGCCTAACTCGTCGTAGCAGCGTGTCTCGTTTTCGACTGGAAAAAATTGTTTCTTCAGTGATTACGTTAATTTTGTTTGTTTTAACTAAATTTAATTCTATATTTATAAATAATATGTATCTACTCTACAAAAAGAAAAACTTCACTGCTGGCAGCCCACAAGAGATGCATGTGTAAAAAATAACAAATTTTAATATACATATATTTCATGTATTGCACTGCCGGTCAAAAGTTCGAAATCATATATAAAATTTAAGAATATTTCAGTGAAACATTACTTAAAAATTCTGTTACGTGCCTTATTTAATTTTTTTTCTTAATTTGAAGTAAATAGGCATTAGTGCACAGTTGTGATTAACATAGCATTATTCAATTTTAAAAAACTATACTACTGCAGTAGTCTTTTTTCTAAAATTAAACTATTTCACACAGCTGTTGATTTTAAAAGATGAATGAAAAAGTCTTCTGTCAGGGAAAAAAATTTGTAGCTAAATCTAAATGTGTGTGTGTGTGTGTGTGTGTGTGCAATAAGCACACAATATTCCTAAAATGTATAAATATTGTTTACCTTTTTAATATTCATATAACATTCTAGTAATACATTCATATAACATTATGTTTTATGGAGATTATTTAGATTAATAAATAATATGATTTTAATTGTTAGGGTGGCTACTTAAAAAAAAAAGAATCTAATATTTAGTGCTTTTATTGTAAAAAAATTGGTAAAAACGTGTTTTGTAAAATTTTCAAACATTTTACATTATTGTTTATTTTATTATAAAATAATATTGAATAAAATACACAAAAATTAAATATTATATTATATGTAATTATATTATGTAATTATATTATATAATTATTTTAACATAATTATATTATAAAATATAGGAATATATTATATGTCATGATATATATTATATAATAAAAATATATTAAATTATACATTATATCATATTAATTATATATCAATTATATTAGTCTACATATTATTCATATAGTAGACATTTTTGATTAATGGTGTCAAACTTTTGACGGCAGTGTATAGAGAAAAGCCCCCTATTATGAGATAGGTGTTCTGCTAAATTAACAGACACTATCTGTTGGTTCCACCATGAATTTATTGCTCTTGGATTGAAAACTATTTAGTAGAAAATTCATTATTAGATCATGCCTGTAGTGATTGTAAAAAAGATTTTAGAATTAGGATGTCTTGAAGTATCATTGAGATAAACCTTTAAACATTATTTATTATTCAATAAATAAATATTTGGCAATAAATTCTTCATGTAGTGGCAGAGTAACGTCATACTAATAGAAATACGGGATATGTTGAATTGCTTAATTATAGAAGTTAGATTTGATGATCGTAAAACCATAAAGCGTGGAAATCGTAATATGAGATACCCAGGATATTTCTAATATAAAATAATCCATGCTTCCATAGTGAATAGCTGTCATAGTGAAAATTGTTGCTAAAGTATAAATGTTATTGTACAATAATAAAAAGGACAACCGGAATGAACGTCGAGTGCCTATTTCTGGGATGCTTGATTTCAATTATCAGAAGACGAATTCTGGGTATAATGTATCGCATACTCATTTTCGCGCACCTTGGTTATGTTCGTTTTTGTATTTAAGAAACATTAAATAAAGTTTTTTATAGTTACAATACTGATATACTTTGTGTTTTATTATTGATTTCTCGAGGCATCTCATATTAGGAGCACAATTTTTTGACTGCGATTTACTCATTTTTTACATTTCTTTAATTAAAAAAAAAATGGAATTTGAATTAAATTTTATATAACATTATTTTAAAGCTTATTAAATTCCCTTCAAAATGACCTATTATTTTTTTTAAATTCTGTTCCATAGACTTCTAGCATTTACCCAAAATGAATTCGGTATCTCATAATAGGGGCCTTTTCTCTACATGTCTTGGACATTGTAAAGAAGAATAAAATGTACTCCTAACATTACTGCGATCAAATTTTTTTATCTAATTTGTATGATAGTTACAAGGCAGCCAAGGTATGTTGACTTCGATTCGATCGCTGCGCGCCCACTGCCAAGGGTCCAGGATTCCGGCGGAGCAGATAACAGGAGTCAATGCGACGAGGAGCAGGATCAAAGTTCCTTCGCCATTGTCGCCGACTCCTCGTCCGTTCATGCCGCTCCTCATCCTCATCCTATAAAAAGAAGAACCGACGCGATCGATAACAATTTGCACAGTGTCGCTAATTTGCTAATGTCGCGTACTAATGTTTGAATCACGATGGTGGGTTTTCTATTCATTTTTTAATACTCAATCTCCAATTAAAATTAATGTAACCTTTCTCCAGACAAAAGGGTTGTTTTGATAGTAAATAAAAAAATATTATATATCGAAGATTAATTACGGAAACATGTTGCGAGCGCACTGGAATACGAATGCATGCAAAACTGTTGAACGAACACTACGACTGTTTGTCGAACTTGTATTGGGCAAATATTGCGTGTTGCACGAGGATTAAATCACTACTAAATGTTTGAAAGGATGATCACTGAATCTAAAAGCGCTAAGAATAATGTTGGTGGGAGTTGAAGAGCCTTCGAACTCTTGGGAGATAATAAAACTTCCAATCGTTAGGAGAAAGATATTTGATAAGGCTGACCGCACACATTTATGTTCAGATCACCTTTGAAACTTACCTCGATGTTCAACCAATTGTTACCTCATGCTTGAAAAAGAAGTGGAAGGATTTTTTAATTCATTTCTAAATGATCACCTTAAGAACTTTAGAGATACGTTTGACATTAACGTTTAAAGCTAAGGATAGAAAAATTGATAGAAAAATTGTCATGCATGAATATATATAAATATACAGAAATATGTACAAATATTCATAAACATATCTAATTATGTACGAAATATGTTCATACATTTTTTTCTCTTTCGTAAACTTACTTTTTAGTGTAATAAAAATAAAAATAATAATAATGGGAAAATATAAAAAATAATTAAAGGGACAATTATCGCATTGTTTGTTTTAAAAAGAAAATCACATTTAGAGAAATATAAACAAATTTGCTCATATATAATTATGTATAATTTTACATACAGTTGTATATCAGCAATTTTTTTTACATTTCTCTAAACTTTCTTCTAAAATAGTGTAAAAATTATCCTTTAAATTGTTTTTAATGTGTTTTTATTATTATTAGTTTTATTTTTCATACACTAACGAGTAATTTTTGAAAAAAAGAAGGATGGACGTATTTCATATATAACTATATATATTTATGAATATTTATATATAATTTTATATATGTTTGTACATTCATGCATGAAACATTTTTTATCGGGATAAGTCGACATCAGTAACATTTATTTATCCGGGTCTTTGTCTGTTCGAATTGACGTTGTCATAATCACGCGATGTATATGCGTATACCATTACTTGCTCTACGATATTCGTACTGCGTGTGATTTGTAATGACATGTTGGCGGCCACGACAATAGAATGAGGAAGAGGAAGACAAACCTCAGTTAAAACGTATTGGACATTTCGATGATATAACTCGGCCTATCTGTGTTCGTTACGAGTTCTTAGACGCCGTCAATTTTCTATTTTGTAATAAAGAAAAGATCGTTAATCATATATATTCGTTGAATAATAATCGCGTTGCTAATTGCATTCATCAATGAGCGAATTTGCAAGTTTTTCGAGAAATTCTTTGCCATCGGAATCGAGCTCGAATATTGATGGAACGATTGTTCTACTTGCAGCCTTCATTAGCTTATGCAACGAGGATGATTATGCAATGACACTTACGCGAGTATCGTATCTCATTGAATCTAAGATTATGTCATGCGCGTATATTGCACTTACGTAGAGATCGAAGGTTCACGACTTCAGGGATATATAACGGCTAGCAGTAACTCCTCGTGAGCATTATCAGGTTAAGTTACCATTGATGCACGCTTTCACCGGCTAAGCTATTCCGGTTATTCACAGCGGAAAATGCATATTCAACGATCGACATTAATAGATTGTTACTTTAAATATACTATCCGGTAAACAGATCGCATCAAGTCGTTTGGGATTGGTCGAGATCAACGAAGTGGCACGAGAGATTATTTACTGGCGGAAACGCGGTAGAGAGTGGCGAACAAAATGTCTTTATTATAAAAGAACCGAAACAGTTTCTAGTTTAATGGAAAATACGAATGTTACACATATATCGGCGCCTCTTAGCACTGAAATATTACATTACCGTATTTCTTGATATTTCTTCTCATTGTCCAACGTTGACAATGAGAAAAAAATATGTGGATACGTAAAAAAACGATTGATTATCATGGAAGTAATAGCAACATGTAAACAAATAAAATATTAAGGAAATATTCATATTCATTATAATTGCAATTGTATTTACAGTTGGACAATTTTTGTGCATTAAAATTAACACATTTCACATGTTCCAAATAATCCATTCAAATTTTTGTTAGAAAGTAACACAAATATTATATAAAAAATAATACAAAAAGTGTATTGATATAATTTGCATATTTTTTTCCATAAAATTTATAATATATTAAATCAATACGTATTTTTATTTGCTTATTTTAGAATTTATGTCTTAAAATGCATTATTTTTATGTTACTTGTTCATTCATTTATGAATTGTGTTATTTTGATATTAAGAAATGTCGAACACTGATTTAAAACATTCAAATAACATAATCATAAAAATATAAATTTTTGACAAGGACTTGAGTAGATCGTTTCTAACATAAATACAAAAAAATGCTTTTAATATAAATGTACAAAAATAGTATTAATTTTATTTACCATATCTTGATATTTTCTACTACATCAATATTAATTTGAAATTATCATGATTTATAGTATAATTTTTTATAATTAGTATAATTACAAAAACATAAGGTCATACTATTATTAACATTATATTAATATAGCAACAATTATAAAAATTCTTGACCACAATTATTTTATTTATAATTACAAACAGTTTTTCCTTTTAATAAAGCCACAAATTTTTTAATTTTCACTCTTCGCTTTCGAAGTTCTCGGAGCAATCAATTTTTCTGCGCAAAGATAAAACGGAATTGAAATCCGATAACATCTTTTTCTGCCTCTTCGTAACATCGCTGAAATACGTCGTGAAATTAATAGCGTTTTCTCTTGGCTGCACTATCACCCGCTAGTGCAACACTCAGACGGTGTTCCGTGGCTACGGTGTAGCATAAATTTTATGCACGAAGTGGGATTTTGTTGCACCGTCTCAAAGGGACGGTGTAGAGCCAGTGTGACATTTAAAATGTGAAAATGGAAATCAAGTGGGAATAGAGTTTTAGCACACTAATGATGTAGTGTACTACACCATGGTGTGCACCATTTTGGTGTAGTGTAGCTGAGTGTAGCTCTTACACGCAACTGGTGCGAGGGCTGCACCCAGTATATCCCAAGAGAAAACGCTATAAGAATGCAATGGAGTTTCTGATTATCGTTCAAAGTAAATTATTCTTGAATTAATTATAGTTTCAGCGATCGGGGTGGAGGTATGCATTGGAAGGGACGGAATGGAGCAAGAATAATTCGAAACCTGTTGCCGAACGAATATGGGCAGCGCCGCGCGGAATGTCGCGCGCTATTTTCTGCATTCCTCAAACGAGCAGCTACATATTGAGGCCTGGAGGCTTGTCTTCCGATCGCGTCGATACGTCGTTTCAATGAGTCACGCATAACGAATACATTATAAACAGTGTTTTGCCTTGGAGCGCTTTATTATCCGCCTCTATCATGATTGTGGCAATTCTGAGGCGTATACACAATACACATACGTGTATACCGTTGTCGAGCTGTATGCATGAACTGTTCGGTCAACTGCTCACAATATGGCAGTTGGTTTTTTTTTTGCCTTTGTATCGCCACTTTCCCTCTATTTCCGCAGAAGGAAATATTCCTAGAGGCGGTATATGTAAATGTTCATTGCGATTATTCTCGGTTATTCATGTCTGATTGGCATAGAATGACATTGACACGATAATCGCAGTATCTTGAAAGTCGTATGTTAATATCCTTTTATCCGGTCGTTGTTTTATTAATTGCTTGCGTTTTTTACGATATGCTTTAATATACAGAGTAAGGTTGCTGAAATTGCATTATTTTTTAGATAAAGGCTTAGAACTCAGAAGTTGTAAAAAATATTATCTTAAGTTTTTTTATAGCAAATATATAGTCTCTCTTCTCTTCCTTGAATATTTTTATTATTTTTTGCATTATAACGTTTTAAATGTTTCAAAAAACGTTTCAAAAAAATTGTTTAATTCCAAAAGAAAGATTGTATTTTAATATGCTGTTAAAGGTTTAAGAATATTTTTCATAATTTCTGGAACAAATAGTAATATTTTAAAAGATAATTCAAGGAGTTTCTATGTGAAACAAAATACTTTGCAGGTTTAAATACATATATATTTTTATATATATATAAAAAGGAATAAAAATGTAAGAAATTATTATAAGTAATATAAAGCAACATGCGATTTAAAATCGAGATTAGATTGTGGTGCAATTTAGGAAACTACAGCTTTTTGCAAAACTTTATTTATTTAATCTATAAAGAATGTAAAAAGGAACTTTATAATCTTATTAATCTTATTCTAATAGCATTTCAATCACGATAATGTATCAAAACATAGGCTATTTAACTTGCATTTTCTGCAATTCTGCTATATGAAATATGATAAGTTAAAAAATAGCAACACTTATGTTTTTCTTATTTATATGAATAACAACTTCTATATTGAGCTTCGTGTCATTTAGTAGTGTAACACAGCAGTGTTGCACGAGTACCATGTAATTTTTGAATAATTCATGAGTAAGAGTGTAAGTACAATAATTGAATTTTTAGGCAAGTTAATACGATTTCGGAAGTCGACAATCTTACCCTACACGAAAAGAATAATTTTTAAGGGTTTTATTTAAAAATTTAAGTAGATCTGAAACTAATTTTGTTGGTTTCATCAACATGATTATGTATAATAAATTCAAACATGACGAGCAATGCTACAAAAAGTTTTGAGATTTTAGCAACTAGTTGAGCGTTCTATATACGTATAATTATTTTACTTAATAAAATTATTGTCAAATCTGTATCTAGCTAAATTTTTAAACTTTAGCGA